AGGGTATCTGCTAGTCAGGCACTCTCAACTCGGCTTGTTTGACTTGCGTTTGCTGGCTTTGACCAAGGTGCGGGCAAGCAACACTTTTGACACCTCCGACGCGCGTATAGGGCGCGGTCAGTCGAGGGGCGTGCTAAGGTTCGGAATGGGTTTTGGGTACCAAAGATCGGACGAAACAGACACTCGCCGTGTGTGGCGCACAACAGGCGAGACATCATTCAAGTGGTGGCAGGCGGCGGCATTAAAAAAATGTAAAAGGAGACAATTAATATCAATGTTCAATCGAAAAGAAACTTCAATGCCACACACACAATGCCAACGATAACAACAGCAATAATAATAATAAAGACAGAGATGCACACACATGGGCCGCACACAAGCTGGGAAATGCGTTAAGCAGGAAAACGCTTGAAACCTGAGCAGCGGCGGCTGCGTCATCGGCATCGGCATCGGCAACGGCATCGACAATCTGCTGCGATTTATTGGGTACAGTCTAACAATCGCAGGGTGTCTGAGCTGCGCATATGCAGCAAGCGATTGATGAGGCAAGCCGTTGCCCAAACAGAAGCGACCTCCTGCTCGATGTTCGCCTATTTGCCCAGGCGCTCAAAATGCACAATGTGGTTGATAATGAAATGTAATTTATGAGCAACAGCTGGGTTGTTGGTCGGTGGGCGGTGGTTGCATATCGATGTTTGTATTGGGCATATCAATATTTATATATGCACCTTCAGTCCGGGGTTCGCTTTTGCCAATTTCGCTGTGCAATTTGTCAACTTTGCAGCCGAGCTGCAAAACTGTTGAAGGGAGTAGGAGCGAAGGGGAAGGGGAAGTGCCATTGATAGACCCTCAGAAATTGCGACGCAGGGCCTAACCACGAGAGCGGTTACAAAAAGCAATTCTTCGTCTCAATAGTTATCCATGTTACCCTTTTGACTTTATGCAACCCTCAAGCCACGCAGCATCCTGTTTGTTCTGCAATAAAATAATTTCCTGTAATCCCTTGCGCGTGCTCTCAATTATGATCAAGCGATTTTTATGAATTTATATGCACTGCGCTGCATACGACAAACGCACAAATACATTTATATATATATATATATATACATATATATGCACAGGCGCAATTGAATAAGAACCTCGTGCTCATCCTAGGGTGTCCTGTGCGTCAATGGCTGCGCGTGCAAGTCCTGCTAACAGCGTCAGATTCAGTTGCATACACTATCTGCAGGAAGGAGTATGCCGACTATGCACTGTGCCTAGCTTCAAGACAGCAGCCTATTCAAGATTTCCTTAAGATGTTTTGAGTCCTAAGTAATTTTAATTTTGGATAATAGAACATATCGTTGGAAAGTTTGAGGAACTTAAGAAAAATGTTTGTATGCATATATATCAAACTATTTGTTAATAGATTTAACTAAGTAAATAAAATTGTATTTGAAAAGGGACAAACATTAATGGAACATGGAAATAACAACTCTTTGTTGTCTTTATTAAAAATCTCTTTAAGACATTCATTTAATTTTTGAATGATTTAAAAGAATTAAAAACTCCATACAAAAGTGTAGCATATCAAAATCATATGGTATTTAGGACCTGCCGTTGGCGGATCTCACAATAGAGCATCTCACAGTCGTACGCATTCGAAATTATTTATACAATTTTTTGCTGCGACATTTTCGTACGCACACACACACATTTTATCAACAGACGTAATACAAATACTGTGTAAATGGAATACAATGGAAAATGTTCTGCTTTTAATTACGACGTAAAAATTATTTTTGGACACAAGTGCCCTGCTAATGTTGTACAGCAACTGGATGCTTCGTTTTTAACATCTTGCCTTGCCCATTAAGTCGCATTTACACACGTATCTTGTTGGCATTTAAACTAGCCTGGGGAGAATTAGGGCGAGCTACTTAGCTTTAATTGATAAAATCGATTATTATTTACTTTTATTGCCCGACTGGCGCAACGTTTGGACTTTTTTTTAGGCATGTACACAAAATCTAATAATGAATGGAATAGGACCTCAATTCCAGTATAAAAGTCTGTAGTTCTTATAATCCTTGAGATCGACAAGTTTATATAGACAGGGGATCGGGCATGATAATTTGATCAATTACATGCACATACCTACTGCAAATTACATACATATGAATACATACACAGAATACCCTTTCACATTAATGACTGCATAAAGAACTGTAGTCTTCGGTGCACCATGTCTTGCAGACACTTAACGTGGTTTTTTTCAACACTGGAACAATAACAATGGAACGAGTATTATACTTGAGTTTCGTCCGATTGTTCCTACAGCAGTTATATAATATGGTAGTCGGATATTCAGGATATATTGCAAATATTTTGAATAAAGAGTATATTACTCTGCAAACTCAACTTTCTCACGATTGTTCTCAAGGCAGCTATATAATACTTGACCTTGCAAATTTCCACACAAGTACCATCTGGAACCAGAAGACTAGGTCCATCCAAGTTTCTTGACAAAGGCGTTAATACAGGGACATGGCAAGGTCAGAAAATGTGAAGAAACGGTAAATAATCTGAGACGGGCAACGCCGAGTAACACTAGTTAGTATATGTGTTAAGTACTTTCTTGCCGTTGTCTATTTAAAAGATGTTAAGCTTAAGTGACACACGAGCTTAAAATTTTAATAGTTTAGAAAAATATTAATATTAATAACAAAACATGTTTGCATGTGCACATACTGGGTCAAATAAGTGTATGGATTGGGGTTAGCGCAAGTTTACTGTACTCAACGACTCTCAAATGAGCTCTACAGCTGTCTGGAACGGCGGGCACAGCCAATGAGGCAGCGCAGAATGAGAAAATCATGAATCGCAGATCGAATTTCAGGCGTGCTTAACACGAGTTTCGCAGAGTTCTTTGTGTGTTCAAAGCCTTCATATGCATAAGGATATGAAAACATATACCTAATAAGGGGCAGGTACACATACACGAGCACGCACACACTCACACACACCCACACAAATCCCTCAAAAAATGCGTCAATAAGAGATTACACATTTTGAAGTTCTGTTTCTCAAACAGCAATCGATTCAGTTGGTATATGGTCGATTCTGTTGGTATATGCCAATCTGCAGCGCTGACATTTTTGTCATTTAAATATATATTTAAGAGCTAAGGATTGAACCTTCAAAAATTCTATATAGACATGGGTCGGTATTTCATAAATCGGTCAAAACTCAACAGATTTGTATGAAGTTGGGCTTTTTGGGCATGGTTTGGCCTTTTTATTAGTCAGGTATTTAAATCTGGCATCAGGTGGTAGGCATGATTGGGATCGTATGGGTTTGGGGGCTATAGATAGCACTAGTTTACAAGATGTTTTTTGACTAAATCAAATAATAAGCATATAAACAATCAGAATACTCAGAATATCCATATACAATTCATTGATTCTACTTAATAGATTCTCTTCGGATTTGTCAAAAGAGATTTCTGTGTCAGCCCCGTATATAAATTTTAAAAGCCATTCTTGTCCTGTTCTTTTGGGCAAGTCTCAGGACTCTTAAGGCTGGCATCATGTCGGTGTTCTTTTTAAACGACTTGGGAACATCTTATGCTAAGTAGCGAAGAAGCTCAGGCTATCTGAAGGACTTCTTCTCAAATTTTGCGATTTTTTAAATTCCGTTCTATGTCCCTGTGTAAAAAAAATGAAAAACAATCAGGGCAATAAACTTAAGAGCTGGTTGTTATTGCATTTTTCCAATTAATTCACAAACAAAGTAATTAAATGAAGAAAAAAATACACATCAATGGGCTCATAAACAAACAACTGTTTATTACTTTTGAGTGTATATCGCCAATTGATGCTCCGCTGACTTTGGGTTCACACTCTCCGGAGAGCTATGCACTTCCAGGTCTATGCTTTAACTGCGTCACACCAAAAATAAATAAATAAAAGTTTCGAGTTGGGCAAACAAAATGCCAAAGGCAATTGCAATTGCCACAAGCCGCAAGCCAAAAGGCAACAGTTTCCATGGAAAATGAATTTTCCATTGGGGTTTGGCAAAATAAGCACGAAGCACGTGTTGTATGGACACCGACAACGGCGACAAGATATGACGACCAAGTGCTCCAATTTATTATAACTTTTAAAATAAAAGTTATTTATTTATTTTTTTTTCTTAAAGCAGCCTTTGCAGTTGGCTTTTTACCTCTCCCAGCTGGTCGCTCTCTGGCATTTGCCGACAGTTGCCATACCCTGTACACACAAAATGGGTCGAACGGACATACGGGGGCAGCAGGAGACAAAACTGGTTACGCTTATTGGCACAAATTTTGCCTAACTTAATAAGCTGCATAAATCCATGGCAGAGTAATGAGTTTTCCACGTTAGCTTCATGCTGCTGCAATTGATTCCACTTTTTGTTATCATAAACAAAACTGTAAGCCGGGTTAAAAAAAAAAAAACAGCTGAACCTTTACCTAAACAGAAGCATAAAAATATTTGTGCATCTTCTAAAAATGAATAATTTACTTATTTCAATAAATTAAATTGTGCACGTAAAACAATTTGTTAATAATTAAAAAGTGTTTATGAAAATTAAATGAAATATAACGAACCAAGATTCGAATCCTCCATTCACGTATGTGGAAAACCTGGTACACAAGCCGAGCCCAAACTGGTTCGAGCCGTAAACTGAACTGGTAAAAACTATTTTTGGGCTTGAACCATGAACCATGAACCAACAAAAACGATTTAAGAGACATGCTTAGCAAGTTTTCTCATTTTATGTTCCTGATCGGCACTTGTTAAAAATGCCAAATGCCAATTCTTGAAAATGCTTCAAAACGAATAATAATCAACAGAATAATCAAACAACTCATTTAAATAACGGATAATCAAAGAAATTAAAGAAGTAACATATGTATATATCCATGAACAGCCAAATGTAAGAGCTTCATTTAAGGGGTAGCTGCAGTTCGAGCAGGGTAGATTGTAGAACTCTTACTTGTTGTGCTCGGCCTGGCATAAAACTGGACCTGCATCTGGAGCTCTGATGCTGGAGCTGATGCTGGAGCTGGAGCTGGAGCTGGAGCTGTCGTGCTTGTCTGAAAATTATTTCTGTTTTTTGCTGGTGCTGCAGCTAATTCATGGAAATTTATGTTTAATGACAACAACAAAGGCAGCTAGCTACTAAAAAGAAAATAAACAACACGGGCAAATTGCGGGCAGTGGCGGTGGCTGCGCATTCTGGTTTCTCATTAAAAGCAAATTTGCCTTTGCCTGGGCGACAACAACCATAACTGACCCACACTTAACTGTGTTAATAAGCCCAAGTTGCTGTTGTTGTAGCTGCTGCTGTTGCATGTGGACTTTGCGTTGTCTGAGAATGCGGGCGTTGCGTAGGCGGCCTGTGCAACGTGCAACGTGCAACGGCAACGCGCAACGAGACCGAAAGTTGTGGCCGAGTTGGTGGCAATTGTCAGCTGGCTGGCAGCTTTATGACACCTGGCATGCAATTATGTATATGACAGGCGACTCTTGTAATGGAATTCTTGTGCGGTTTCATTATGCAATGCAAGGCTTGCAGATGCATATGCTTAGATGTACATACACACACACACTTACATACACATGCACATTGAATGGGGAACGGAAATGCCAGACAAATTCTGTGTACAGCATGCGCCGGGCTTTCTACAAACTACAGAGACTACTCTCCTGTCTGTCTGACGGATTGTCTGCCGTCTGCCAGACCGTCTCTATGTCTAACAGCTTCCGGCTGACGGCCGGCTGGCTGGCTGGCTGGCTAGCTACTGGCTGCTGTCTGCCCAAGATGCATAAATCATGTGCTAGGCAAATCAGCGGCCCACTGACAACAGCAACGGCAACAGCGTCCCAATCAAATCAAGAGCGCGACCACATTTGCCAGCCACACACGACACCGAAACGTTTTGTGCCACAAAATGCTGGCCATACGCTTTTTGGTAGCATCGATTTGGCCAACAACTAAGTCAGCCAGTCGGCGGCAATAGTAAGTATTTCAAGTCAATCCAGTTGCCGTCGCTGACAGCCTAACACAAAAACTTAATTAAAAGCCAGAGCCCAACTGTGTCCACAGTCACAGCACGGGCGCGAGTGAGACAGAGAGAAACGCAGACGCAGACAGAGTGAGTGAGAGAGTGAGAGAGAGAGGGAGAGAGGAAGAGAGAGAGCGACAGAGTGGCAGAGCTAGGGTGAGATATACAGCCGCGAATATATTCGTAGCGATTTGACTCAATTTCCCAATGAATTTTCCCTTGCCACAGCGTGGCACACATTCTGCTCTTATTATACCCTTGCAGAGGGTATTTTCGTTCTGTCACGCAATGTGTAACAGCTCTTGCTTTGTTCGGTAACTACCAACCGAGTTATGGCTGGCCGAAAAAACTTTGCACAGATTCAACTATTTGATGCGGCAAAATAAAATCAAAATATTGTCACGGAATTACCCGGCTTAAGATTGGATGAAATATTAAAAGAATGCTGTCTGTGAAATTGCTACAATTCGTCAATATATTTTGTCTTTCGTCATCACAGGGGCTCGATCCGTAGTCTTCGTATTCAGAGTGTGTGCCGAAACAAGCGGTTGTCTGGAGCAAATGTAAAAACTGACAGTTGCCGGCGTTGAACCGGCGACATTTCATCCGCTAGTCCAACGCTCAAATACCTAAGTTATACAGGCTCTTGACGCCACTCCTGCAAAACACAATTAAGTGACTGCACTTTCCTTCATTGGAGCTTCGAACTTTTCTTAGTGCTAACTTTCGAGGCTGAAAAAAGCAACAGCTTAAGTCAGGCAGGACAAACTTTACTCATGTATTGCCACATAGAGTATTGCATGTTTGTTAGACTCGCAATTTATTTTCTTTTATGTTCTATTTCTGTATCAAATTTGACTATGGCGAAAGTAATGCGGTCGCCTGTTCCTGGGTCAACGGTGCGTATGTGCAATGCGGACGGTCAACTAACAATTGGCAACAGGCAGCCGGCAACCGGCAAGTGGCAAGTGGCAATTGGCAACCGGCAACTGGCTGTTAGCCTATTATCAACTGTAGGTGGTATTCTGCAGTCCTAGTTGCAATCTGAGGCACTGATCAGAGCATGCAATGTGCCCCGCTTGAACTTTGCAGCACGTTAAGTGGAGCAACTGGCAGAAACTGTGTCTGCATCCATTGAGACTGAAGAGCGATGAATGCGAGTCTGTCATCAGAGTAGAGCTGTCTGCGACATTTAATTAGAAAAGAAACGCAAAAAATTTGCGAACTATTTGACAATGTGGCGGCTTTTTAATTGGCAACAGCCAGATGTTGCATAATGTGCCGGGGATTGCCCCAAAAGTGATGCACAAAACGCTGCAGCGACAACAACAACAACAACAACTACAAGAACTGGCTAAAAGCAGAAACATGTTGGCCATATATATTTCGTCGGTGTCTAGCCCCCTCCCGCCTCTCCGCACACACACACACACACACACATACATACACAGCCCCCATGCAGACAAGATTTTGTGGCAAGGCGGTGTCTTAATGGTGTCAACACCGCTGCAAACTTTGTGGCAAGACTGGAAGCAGCTATCGCATCGATAATTGTCCAAAATATATTGGCTTTCATTGGCATTGACAGCGATAATTGGCCAAATCGAAGCCAGAACCGTTTGTGCGGAAAGTTTGCGACTTGACTTTATTCGGTTGCAACTCCCAACTCTCTGTCTTTAGCTTGCCTGACGTTTTGACAGCGCGCGGGCAGCAGCAGCAACTAAATAATTTCGAGCATATATCATTTATCATTCGACCGTGGCCTAAAATTAATATGCATATCAGTCGCTAGCTGCTCTCCAAATACTCCGCTAGATATGCCGAAATGGGATTGAGCCACAGCCAGCGACCAGCTTTGTTGCCAGCCTTGTTGCTTGCCTAGATCTAAAAATTTATGAGCAATTGCCAAACAGTTGGCAGTCTACAAGGGAAATATATTATTATACGTGGCATCACAGTCATTATCATGATATTATGATATGAGCATCAGCATTTATATTTAAAATTAGATTCCAACGTTTTTATCTATGTTGAAAGGAAGGCGCGGGGGCGCAAGCGTTTCGCCTGGAAGATGAAATTAGGTATCAACTGGCAGATACAATTACGAAGTAAGTCAATTATTGCCCAAATAAATAGGGAACGCAACTACGCCTTATGAGTCCTTTTCGAAAAAATAAACGAAAATTTGATTTCCTACAAGATTCCAATATTGGGTATTATTTAAATAAATATAACTATCTAGCTGCGAGCCGAATCAGAATTTCCTTTTTCGTATTTATTTAGCATTAACTGAACCTTAAACCGTTTTAGTTGGACAAAAAAGTCGATTCATAAACTGAAGCAAAGCAAAGTTTATTAAATACGCGGCTTGGCTTTACTGAAATAAAATAAAAAAAAAACTAAATTGAATTGAGCAGTTAAAGAAATGTATTTCGAACCGAAGCCAGGGCTTCAATATGTGAATAACCGTGTTCGCGAGCCCGAACTTAAGGCGAGCCCTAAACCCCAAACTAATGCAAATTTGTGCAGGGTTGCAGCCCATTTGCAATCTATAATTGTTATTATAACGATGACTTTTCGAGGGTAATAGCTAAACCATCATCCAGCTAAGATTTATAGCTAAATCCATGAAAAAAAAAGTGTATAGAAGTATTCGACCATTCAGGCAAATAAACCTTCCTTGTAGATATGAATAATGTATATCAATATTGGCTGAGAACGTGTGCATATGGTTCTCATATTAAAGTTGGTTTCCAAGAAATGGCATTGATTTTATCAAGAACATTAGTAGTATCCACTTTCATGGAACGGCACTTGATTATCAGCCGTATTACCCACTGGATGTCAAATGGTGCTGGACATAATTAGACATCGAAGTGATGGTTGGCCACAGCTCGCAGTCTATTAGCCAAATTAATGATTTATAGATGTCGCGCCCCTAACACTATATGCTATCTACGACCCCTCTCAACAGCAGTTAAAGTAACAGTTATCGGGTTTTCGGTTCGTTTTTGATGGCAGGGGAGGCAAAACAATAAACCTGTCGGAGCCATTCCATAGCTGTTTAATATCATTGCCATATGCATGGATTACCAAACCCTAAAACCGCACAAAACAATGCACGATACAACAACAACAACAACAATAACAATTGGACTGTATCGTATGGAAGACATGTTGACTTTTTGGTGTGTACAACGGGACGTATGCGCGTTGTTGTACTATTTGCCATTTTGCATGCCTTCACATTAGATAAGTTAAGATTGGCGATTGTCGGTTACATTGTTGTCGCTGTTGCGGCTGTAATTATGCAAATTTGTTAACAACCTCTAAATACGGCAACAGCAACAGCAACAGCACCAGCAACATTTTCATTTTCAGTTTAATTTTGCAGTTTTTGTTTCTTTTTGTTTTGTTATTTTTTGCTTTTGTCTTGAATTTTTGGCTTGAATTTTTAATTAACATTGCGCATACGCCACATGCACCCCAACAAAAACGAACCGAATCTTGAGCCAAGCGGCGCCTATTTCGAGGTGTGTTGTTGCTGTGGTAAATGTATGCCAAATAAATGCAGCTAAAAATGAAATAATGAGAACACTTTTTTTATGCAAACATGGCTTAAACACTTTCACTAAGCCAGCGAGACTAAAAAAAGAAAAAAACAAAATGTAATGCAACTAGCAGGCTACACGAATTTCGTGTCGTAAAGCTCTCAACTCCCGGCCAGCCAACTGAGTGCTGGGCCAGCCAGTCCGAGTGGGTGGGCAGCGCGGGCTGCACCACAGCGAGTCGCTGTGGCATGCTCAAGTGGTGCAATGTGCACACGAGTGCGAGTGCGAGTGCGAGTGCTGAGCATCGAGATGCACATGAAATTGGATGTCTTTTTTTGTTGTTTGTTTGTTCGTACTTGGACAGGGAGATGGGGTAATGGGAGTGGGCATTGCAATGGACATGAGCCAGTTGTAGATGTTGCTCTGCTGCTGTCACATTTGCAATTAACTCACGAGGCGACGACATTGATTAACGAG